CGTTACGCCACTATGTGGAACATATTGTGTAACATACTGTGTCGATCATCTAATCGAGTAAAGCCCGCTATGTTATACACATTTTAATAAAAAGCAAGCCACGGCAAAACCCGTGAAGATTAAAAAAAAAAAAAAAAAAAATTTATTGTATATAAAAGTTATTTACTAGTTAAACTATAATAAACCAATTAAAGTAATTTTTTTAATAAAAGCCACTTAAATAAACTTTTTTAAATGTATAATCGGCCCGATAAGTTTTGTAGATCTTTTATCGTTACATGTAATTTATTATAAAAATTACTAATAAAAAATTTAAATTAAAATCCGGGTAGCCGGATCACATTTTTAAATATAAGAACCAAGGAGTTTAACTTTATATGGCTTTAAATAAATTTACGATAATATACAATAATCCAGTTTGACCTATCGGTTGTGTCCGTTGCACAAATATATACATGCATACTATACGAAAAAAAATCAAATATATGTGGAGATAGACATATCAGATATCGACATCAATATTGACATGATTTAACCAAAAAAAAAGTTGTTTAAGCATTATGCGTGCAAGCTTCACTAGGATAGTAAACACGTGTAAAATTTATAGTAAAATTTTATGGTGACAATTGGAAATGGTCGGGGTCCATATATTCACATAAACTATAAATTATTTATAGCAATCCATGTAAAAATATAATGTACAGATATAACTATTGTATCGGTATGTTACATTTAAAAGTTAATTTCAATAACTTGCAACAATCACTGCATAATTATATACAGTAAATTAACTATATTCAATATAGTAAATATACTGTATATAGTTAGTAACTATATCAATACTAACCGTTAATTGTCACATAAAACATTATACAGTTATACAAGTTATACAGCCACCATATATTTACAACAGTTTACATAAACAGAATTTCCGGAAATCATAGTTAATCGAAATTGCGTAGAAGATCAAATAGAAATAGTGTTAGTAACATTCAACCGAACAAAACCAATCAAATTAGTACAATCAACTCAATTCATTTTCCGAAACAAACATTTACAAAAAAAATTTTCTTTTGCCATACATATGCGCAAATATGCAAAAGGCAATTGATCAAAGCTTTATTCCATTTTTATATTATGCTTATTGGGACTTTGGTTACCGATTCCAGGTCCCACTCATTTTCCCACAAGCCCCTTTTATCATCCTAAAATAAATCAATGTAGATTTTATATTAGTCGCGTGTCACTTTACTAAATCAGTAACTGCATTTTTTCCGTCAAGTCGGGGCATGTTGTTCGTGGGATCATTTTATACTTCCATAAATGATTCCATCAAAATAATGACAACATTGCCGTGGAATCCTATAAATTCACATCGTTCCCACTCTTCGTTCAAATTTTTTTTTTTCTACTCATCCCCTAATAAATCCATATTTTTTTTTACTCGATTCCCTATATTTTTTTATTATTTTTTTTTTTTTTTAAAAAAAAAAATACCTAATTTCTCCTACGATTTTTTTTTTTTTAATCTTTTTTTTTTTTTTTTTAAACTCTTAAACTCTTGACATTCAAATTTTACTCAACACAAAAACTAATGCCACAACAAGCAAGAAAAGCTTCGACGGCCGCATCGGCAAAAATCGCTAAAGACGCTACTGCTGGTTCACGTAAACGCAAAAATTCCAATAACCCTGAAGAACAAGAACAAAAAGATCTTACTTCTAACACTGAAGAAAATGTTTCTCAAGAAAACGGCGTAAATAATAATAATGATGTCGACAATTCTGAAGCTCCTCCAGATAAAAAAAGAAAGACAGATGACAACGGAAAGACAGATGACAACGAAGACAATCATCAGCACAATGGCAATAACATTGATCATAATGGCGATGCCGCTGCTCATGACTTACAAGAAAGTCATCATGACCATGATCAGGAAATGACTGAAAGGGAACCTGATACGAGTGACGATCATTACGAAAATGGAGACCACCACAAGGATAATGGCAATCTAACCTCACAAGTTTCTCAAGAACCTGAACCTGAGCCGGTTCAAAAACAAACTGCCGATACTGAAAAGAAGGATGAGCTGGCAATGAAAATGACCGCTAATACCCTTGAAAAGGGTCATGTCTTATTCCTCTATAAGCCAAAGGCATGTATCTATAAATCACGTGTTGAATTATTCACGTGATATAATCTAATCTATTCTTTTATAGGTTGGCGTAGATAATCCAACATCCATCGATGATGTGCAACGAATGTATATGGTTCTTATACCTTATCTTGTTCGACCATCCCTTGAGAAAGATCCAATTTCTAGTTTTGCACAAGAGCTTTCAGCTGGTAAACTTGAAGCTGAAACCGAAGCTGCGATTGGCAAAACCCGTGTGATTATTCTCGGAAAGAAAAAATTACCCGAAATTAACAAGCATGACTGTTTTTGGGGATTTGTCGTAAGTTAAATCACTTGGTCATTTATAGTAATTGATATATATATATATATATATTTATTTATTTATTTATATTTAATATTGAATATTTAAAAGGATCAAGCTTTTAATAATTTGGAAGATGTTAAAAAATTCTTTAGTTCTTCCGAATACAGGCTCTTGGTATGCATCAATTATGAGCAATTTATTTTCTTAAAAAAAAAGAAAAATGTTATGATAACTGTTTAACTTTTGTACATAATTACATTATTAATAGGGACGAGGTGTTTATAACATCGTAGATCACCATAACAGAACACACTTGGCATACGTGTTGGAAGTTCCAGAAAATCCTTTTCAACTTCAACTTGATTTTAATGTTGGTAAAAAGGGTTCTTATGCTTTAACCGTCAAAAATTCTGATGTTGCCAATCCACGAAACGCTGGCCTAACTGAAAATGAAAAGGTCAAATTTCCTGAGCATCTCATGAACCATTTCAGCGGTAGACGATTTATTTCTTTTCCAACAACTAATTTCCTGGATTATAATGGTGCTGAAGTATTACTCATTGGTGCCAGAAATGATATAGCGGATGAATTAGGTCAAGAAGTCGGTGGTGAACTCGAAGGTAACTAAATTTTATTTACTTATTGATTATTTATCTTCTAATACTAATTTTATTTTGTATTAAACTAGAATTTGCTGAATTGGAATTGAAATCTCTTGTTTCATTTGATGACCAAGGTGTCTTTGACGAATTGCATCTAGAAAAAGATATCATACCCACTGAACCTGCGTTCCACGGTTTGTGGAAGTAGAAAAGAAATTAATTTTTCTTTGCATTGTAAAATATTTTTAGTCTGATAATGCAAATGACAATCAAAAAGCTTTATTTTCATAATGAGTAGTGATGACTAGATTCAAGTTTAGAATCTTAAAATTTATCATATTGCTTTTATGTCTCATTTTTCATCTTATTGAATATTTGCACGTTATTAAAAATCAGTATTCTTAGCTTTAGCAAAATACTTTAAATAAAAACTAATGTTTAAAAAATAATATTATAATTTGTATTTACTATTCGAACTAATTAAATTCCATGACTTCTATCATGGGGTTCGAATTAATTTCGACAATTGCAAAATTACAGAATTGGCATTCGTTGAATTATTCAATATTAGTTAATATGCCAACATAATATTGATATGAAATTTTCTCGATATAATTACATTATATTGAACATTGTTTCAAAATAACAATTATCGTAATCAATACATGGTATACCTTACAAAGGCATATTTGTTATGGTCGTTAAAAGCAAAACCGGCTAGTAAATCTTGCAAAATTAGCTAAATAGAACTTATTATAAATTTGTGTTCGTTAAATATAAATTTTAATGTAATCATTTCTTTAGTGAGTTATTCTATCATTTCAGCGCAATAGTCATTTATAATTAGGGTTCCAAACTTTTTGACCCGTTTTTTTTTTGCTATATTTAATTAATAATTTTAGAAACCTCTTCTTTTGTTTCTCCCTGCGTTATTCTATAGGCCATTCGAAGAGTGTTTTTGAGTTATTGAATTCTAAAATTGACCAAAACGGGTCAATCGAGTAACCTTGACCCGTTTTTTCCATTTTTATAGTTTAAATAACTTGAAAATAGAAAAATCTGTGGGCATTTGTAAGAATCTATATGGAATTATTTATTTGCCTATAAATTCTATTATTGACGAAAGAAGGGACGTCTAAAGTGGAGTAGATTCTTATAATATATATTTTATTGAATTAACTTTAGGGTTAGGGTTATCTTAGATTAAGGTTAGGGCAGGTTTTAGATAGTTATATATGCAAAATTGCCTTCTCAACATTTTTACTTAACCTACCCAAGGTAAGTACTGAAGTATAGACTGTATTTTCATCCAGTTTTGGAACCCTATATACTGTATATAATTATTCATTTATTTAAGAATAAAAGTAAAATCGTAAACAATGTTAGCTATTTTGCTAAAAATATTAAAAATAGCGCTATTTTAGATGCTACTAAAGTCCGGTGGCTCTGTTTGTTATCTTGTATATACAAATACACAGTGTGAAAATGTACAATTTAATCACGTGAGTAAGGACAAGTTTAAAACACGCGTTCTGTAAACTTCCAACTTGTCGCGTAATAATACTGCAGTAATGTATCAACTGACGCAACAAACTTTGGAAGAACATTTAAATTCTTTTGGTGATCTAATTGCATTAAAGAAAAAATTTATCTCAGACTACGTAAATGAACAACAACGACAAGCTTTCGACATGACAGACGGGAAAGATTTGAATTCAACAAACAATAAGCCTAAGGCGAAACGTCGTAAAAAAACTAAGTCACTGCTTGCAAGTTCCCAGATTATGCAGGTAAACGCATTTCAGGTTATCAAATTTACGAATACCTTTTTTTTTTTACTTAAAATTATAAACGGTATAGAACTTTTCTTCTCGTAAGGTTGGCACAAAACGTGTTACCGTGAGTAATTTTATATTTAATAAAAATTCTTGTTTTTATTTTTTTCATGTCAATCCTAACATTTTAAACAGCTTCGTTCAGATTCTAAACCGGGCATTTTCAATAAAGGAAAAGCTTCGGAAAAAGTTTCCACCAAAGGAGGTAAAAAAATAAAAAAATTTGCAATTAAGTTTTTTCTTCCCGTTTATTAATATTAAAAAATTATTCAAAGTTCCGGATCTGGTATTTTCTGAAGTTGATTTTCTCTATTCGGGATCGTCAAAAAAACGTGGACCATCAAAATTATCTTCTGAAGCACCTTCTCTCCATAGCGATTCAAATGATCACTCTTATAATGGTGTACAAAGTACCAAATCTCCTTATTTTGTGACCAATTTGTCAGATGATGGTGTACAAAGTACGAAATATCCTTATTTTGCGACCAATTTATCAGATAATGGTTTACAAAAAAATTCATCTCAAGACTGTAATAGCTGTAACCAGCATCAAGATACACAAAAGCATACGATTCAAGACAAAGACGACGATGACAAAACAATTTCATCTATAGAGGACGCTCTTAATTCCCTGCATTCAAATACGGGCCCTGCTGATGAACATTCCTGCACGTATCGACCATCTGGAATATCTATTGATATTAAAGACGTCTCTGAAACTCCTAAAATTAGCAATCAACCCAATAATTCTCTGCACTCAAATACGAGCCCTGCCCATGAGCACTCTTGCACATATCAACCATCTGGAACGTCTAATGATATTAAAGACGATTCTGAACTTAATGAAACTCCTAAAATTAGTAATCGGCCAAATGACTATTATAAGTTTTCTATGAGCGATGCCAATAAAAAATATTCATCTATATCACAAGCTGTATCGTCATATTGTGCATCACAAAAACCATCAGTCACCACTATAGGTGTTCCATCAGATGCGGTTAAATGGTTATTAATTGAGCAAGGAACAACATTAGATGATTCTACAAACAATAAACCAACACATCAAAAAATGTGGACGTCGGAATCACCTCTTAAAAGCAAAATTTTACAATCACCAAACGGTAGTGCACGTGCTATGGATTTTCTTAATGCTACCGATTTAAATTGTTCCTTGATGAGTTCTCCAAATCGATACTCTTCACTTCCCCTCAATGATCATATTTTTTCGCCATCCGAAACTTCTGCACTTTACTTAAATGACGATGCTTTAACACAAAATGGTATTGATATTACTGCTGATAAGACATATTGGCAGACCGACGAAGAATATAATAGGCATCCTAATTACTATGCATCATCATATACTGATCTTCATAATAACGAAGATATCATTAAGAAAGACACGGCCATTGACTTTCGAGAAATTGACTTGTCAGATTTATTTATTTGGAGAAAACATAAATTGCACTAGGATTATTATTATTATTATTTTATATTTCATCATTTTTTGCATATCGGTATTTTTTTTTTTCCATTATATTAAAAGTGTAGCTATGTAGAAAATAGGATGTTTCGATAGTATAAAATTATTTTATATTATAGAAATTATGTAGCACAATTAAATTATTGTTTTCGCAATTATTTAAGTGGGTATTGTAAATAACGGTTATATAACATGATTTTTAGATATCTAGATTTTATACAGGATATAAAAATTTTTTTTGTTAAAAATTAAAATCGGTTTTTTTTTAATAGCACGGCTTTTATTAATTGTAATACTGTAAGTAAACATATGGGGGTGAGTCAATAGAAATCAAGCAAATTTTTTATAATAAAAATTTTTTATAACTTTAAACAAAAATAACTT